GGAGTTCCTAGAGGAGTCTTTGGCGACCACCAGGGCAGAAGGACCCCCCTTACTGAGTTCCCACCCACAGCTCAGCCTTCTCGCCCTCTTTCTCAGTCGAACTTCCTCTCCCCTTTGGGGTACGAATCTTCACCCCAGCATCTCACCCCTTGGCGGGGTCACCAACACCTGAGGGTTCTCCCTAACTTCAGCCCGCCCCTGGGAGCCAGTCCCATCATTCCTGAGCTGGAGCATAAAGAAGGATGTGCATTTTTTTCAAGGCCACGTCCGGGGGCTGTGTTTCAGGTCTACCCCACGGCGACGCGTGCGCTGGGCCTGGGGACCTGCAGTGGCATGGCCAGAGTGGGCGCTCTCATCACTCCGTTCATCGCTCAGGTGGGTGTCGCCCAAATACGGAGGGGGTGTGTACGTGTGGCAAAGGCCAGCGCCTGGCAAGCAGTTACTACATGCTGAGCCTTCGGTAGAGCCCTCTGTGTGCATTATCTTAAGAGAAAAGACATACTGCTTACAGATGAGAAAAGCTCAGAAGGGTCAAGGGACTTGCCCAAGGTCACACAGCCAGGAAGCAGAGAAGCTGGGGATTGAACCCAGGTCTTTCCCATGCAGAAGACCCCGGCACTGTCATATAATCTGGCCGAAAGTAGTTCAGATGAAAACAAGTAGGTTGACACCATTTTGTGGGACACAAGTGTCCCCAACCCTGGTTTCTGAGTTGGATGTTAGGTGCAGTCATAGAATCTTACAATTTCATATGTGTCTTGAAGCATTTCTACCCAGATGTAGGGAACTTATTTTGAAATCTTTTTGGCCTTTTAAATATCTAATTTGTTTTTTCCCCATTGAAATTTGAGATCAAAGCCACATCACACAAAAATTAGCCATGTTAAGGTGAACAATTCAATGGCATTTAGCACATCCACGGTGTTGTACAACCATCACCTCAGCTGCCTCCAAAACATGTTCGTCACCCCCAAACGAAACTCTGTACCCACTAAGTGGTCGCTCCCACTTCCCTCTCTCTGCAGCCCCAAAGCCCCCAGTCTGCATTTTCTGTCTGTGTGCATTTACCTGTCTGGCTATTTCATGTACATAGAATTCTAACCCATGTTGCAGCCCAAGTGGTTCTGTTCTGTGCTCTTGTGTTCAGCCATTGTATGTCGCTGCCAGCTAATACTGGTTGAGAGCTTGCCATGTGCCCACGTGGTGCCAAGTGCTGGTAAGGTATCCTCTCGTTAGGGAGTGGACACTGCCCTTATGCCCATTTGCCAAATGAGGAAATGAGGTTCGGCCCTGCTGCATGACTCGCCCGGTGCCATTAAGCTAGGAAGTCAGCAGAGGCACCGCTCTGGAAAAGTGTTTTTATAAGGAATATAGATTCTTAGGCCTGATGGGGTCTGGGTTCAGATCCCAGCCCCATCCTCATTATCTGTATGAACTTGGGTATGATACTTAACCCTTTTTGAGCCTCAGTTTTTCCCTCCATAACATGGGGACAAAAACCTACCTCATGGAGCTCTCATGAGGACTAAATGGAGCAGCCAGACCGTGCTGATAGGAGGGCCTGTTGGCGTTACCAACATCATCTGAATGGCTGGTAGCCCGTGCAGGTTGGATGTTCTCTCTGACACGCGTCTTCCTCCCCCAGGTGATGCTGGAGTCCTCCGTGTACCTGTCGCTGGCGGTGTACAGTAGCTGCTGTCTCCTGGCTGCGGTGGCTTCCTGCTTTTTGCCCATCGAGACCAAAGGCCGTGGACTGCAGGAATCCAGCCACCGGGAGTGGGGGCAGGAGATGGTCGGCCGAGGGACGCACGGCGCAGGCGTCACCAGGTCGAACTCTGGCTCTCAGGAGTAGTGACCTCTGGGGGGCTGAGCTGGTCTTTGAGGCTGTGGAGTGTGCGGGGAGCTGGTGGAAGCCCATCTGGGGTGCCGACCGTCACTGCCGACACCGAGAACTCACCCGAGAGTACAACCTGGACCCTGGTTGCTCATATCCATTGAGACCCCCCCATCCCTCATGGATGGGGAAGCATTTCCTCTGGGGGTTTTCTGTATGTGTGTGGGGAGGTTTGCTAATACCCTGTGGATCTGCATGGGAAACTGCCACACTAGGAGTGCCTGGTGACACCGGTAGTAAACCAGACACCATCCAGAGTTAGCCGGTTCACACCCTAGGTGAACACTGACCAAGGGATCTCCGTAGATACCGTCCAGGCCCAGACCCCGGTGAGACCTGCTGCCCACCAGCCAAACCTGTTCAGTAGGTTTCTCCTACACCCCAGGCCCCAGATTGCCTCGTTTGAAATTGCAGGTGACTTGGGTGTGGCCTGAGCAGCTTTTTCTTGGGTCTGAGAAATGCTCCTCCGAAGGGGCCTCTTGGTTTGCCTCCCCAGGCAGGGCCTGACTTGTGGTGACTCTGGCAGATGGACATGCATTTGAACTTGAGCCACGTGCCCCACCTGGCCCCCTTTGGAGTCACTGCCCCTGGCTCTAGGGGGTCCAAATGTGTCCAAGGGGACAGCTGATGACAACCCCAGAAAGCTGTTGCACCATGCATTGGGGACTGAGGCAAATGAAAGTTGAGAATCAAGCCCAAAGTCAAAACAGGGGCCTCCCGTTTATAAGCAGCAAAGGCCATGTCGGGGCTTCTCTTGCCCCCTCCTCGGTCGGGCGGATTGGGGACTCCGGGGGGAAGAAAATGGTTAACTCAGGTCTCAGCACTTTGGATTTTGAGCTTGGGTGGATGGCTAAACAGACAGACAAAACAAAAAGATGCTATGCCCACCGCCCTTGCTAGTGAGGGTTGGCCTGGTCTTTACACAGAGGCAGCTCCTGGGATTCCGGCAACAGAGCCCATGGCAGGGATGCCACAGGGTGGGGAGGAACAGGATGTGTGAACTGTGTACATTTTCAAAGGGAGAGAAAGAAGGTCGTATTGGTTTCGGGTTGGCCTAGGAAGGACTGACACCGTGTCTCGGCCGACAGCATCCACCTCCTAGATTTGGTTTACAGGAGTTTGTCCCTCTCACGAAGGCAGGGGACCTAGAGAAGGAGAGAGGAAGCTGCCGGATCCCATCTAAGGCCGGAGAAGACTGACTCTCTGCATGGAGATTTCCACTCAAAGTCAGTATTGCGAGGAAGCCAAATGTGTACGTTCATCTCTTATTAAAACATGTTGGTGATGGACATCACAAGGGGCCAAGTTTGTTCATTTGTCGTAATGCCCTGGTGACAGTTTAGCCCGATGGTCTCGCTGATCTTGTCCCTCCAGGGTCAACTCAACACTTTAATGATATGATCATCTTTCCTCTAAGGGAAAACGTGGTACAGTTGGCTGCCAACATTGTGACTTTGAGTTTGTTGGAGGCAACACTTTCTTCTAAGAGTGTCAAGGTCACAGTGGGCAACTTTTTTAGGTTCGTGTCCTAGGTCGACTGCAAACAATCCTGTGTCCCTAGAATATTCAGAGAGGAAACAGCTTGGCGGATCCTCCTCTCCTGGCAATGAGGGTGTACCCTTGAACCCTGAATGGCTATAGCTCTAATTATTTCTGGTCTGCTGAGCTCTCCCGGGTAACATAGAACCTTCGCTAGTCCTTTTTGCCTTCCAGCTGGCCAGACACTGCCGGATGCGTGTGCTCACTCCCTTACCCTCAAATAACCTGAAGGAATTGGGGGCTGGGGTGAGGACAGGATGCTTGGTGGGCAGGAATGTTTTCCAGGGGCTGGGGATGAAGAGGCCTATCATTGAGAGCTTTCTCTTCTTGAGAAAATGAAAAACATTCTTGCCTTCTAAATTGCCTGCCCTTAAAAAAAATCAATATTATCGAATGATACAAGAGCTGCCACAAAAGTTGCCCAAGCCTTTGGCCGAAGACATTTGTATCTAATTTTGAACTATCCAAAAGCTCCCGTTTCCATTAATGGAAATGTCATCTGTTTCTCTGCGCCTTAGGAAAGATTTCAGAAAATGGCAAAAGATGTTCCGTGTAGCCAGGGTTATATAGTTTCTTTCCCTTCAAATAGTATTGGATCTTGGGGACACATAAATGACCCTGGTGGTATCAGCAATGAGAGGAGTGGCTACCTTAGAGATAGGCTTTGAAATGAGTATGGACATTCATTATTTTTAAATACTATTAAGCAACAGAGAACGTTGTAGGGTGAGATTCAGAGTCCCCCTTGGTTACTGCTAATAAACATCCCAGGACTGGATATCTTGAGCTGCAAGCAGAAGTAAAACTAGTCAACAGAAGCTTAAACCATTAAAATAGTAATTGTTCATTTAACAACAAGCCCCGAGTCAGGCTGTTCTAGGTAAGATTCAGCAACTCAACAATGTCATCAAAGACACAACTTCATTTTGCCTTTCTTCTCTGCCATCTCCTGCATGTTGGCCATTTGAAACCTCATGGTCACAAGATGGCTGCTGAAGTGCCAGGCATCATCTTTATTTTCAAAGGAGATAGATTGGTAAGGAGCCATCACAAAAGGTCTTCCTTCAAATGGGTCTGCTGCCTTTGGTTAAAAGGGAAGCCGTTCAGCAGATTTACCACCATTTTGCATTGGTCAGACCTGGGTCCCCTGCCCATCCCAGCATGAATCCTTCCCTAGGACCGGGGAAGGAAGGACCTACTTCCCACAGGATCAAGGGATATGCATGGCCTCTTGAAACATGGGGATTCTGTTGCATGGAGGAAGGAAGACGTGGTGGGAACGGGCGCGGTGGAGAGAAGCCTTGTCACAGAGCTCTCATCAAAGCTTTTTCAATCACAAGGCATAGTGATTAGACTCAGGTTAATTCAGATTAAGAAGCACAGTTTTATTGTAAGGCTGGGTCATCGGTAGTTAGTTTCCTACAAGGGACACCCAGGGAACATCAAAGAGTGAAGCAGGAAGAGGGGAGGACAGTGGCAGAGTAAGGAGCGCAGGCCCTGTTCAGAAAGGGGGTGGCATTTACTCAGTTGTAGCTGATTTTTTTTTTTTGGTATGATGGGATCTCCCAATCTTCAAGACAGACATCTGGATTTTTATGACAAATCTCCAAATTTTAGTATGTTGGATCAAAAAAATGTAAATGATGTGTGAGCCCAATAAAATGCATTTGCAGGCCAGGTTTGGTGAATGGGCTACCAGTTCGCAGCCTCTGAAAGGGTAGAAGATCTCAGAAATAAAGTACAACCTGGGAGCCCTCCGGGTCTGAGACAGCCTCTCTTTGGACGTGTGACCCCACTTCCACTCTTCCCTGTAGCCCTGCTTTCTTCTGCGCCCCCATGGTGGCTGCACATGACTAATGGCACATATGGCTTCCACTCGCCATGGCTCAGCTCTGCAAACAAAGCTGACTCGGATGCTCTATGTCCTTCTTCCAAATGCTCAGGGGAGGCAGCTGATTGGTCCACAGTAGTGTCAGTCCTAGTCCTGGTCCAGTGAAGATGGGTTAGGGGGATGGGGTTGAGAGGTACAAACATGGTGCCTTTGGCCCGCTCTTTCAACTCCGTGTCACAATGACAGGTATGTCTGGAACTCACAGCGACACGTGCCAGCTCTCAAGTCTGTTCATCGTGACTATTGTGGACTATGTTGCAGCATGTGGTCAGCATGCATGGAGTCTCCACCATGAACTGAGCATGACACTCAACACTGAGGATGAAAACAGGAGTGAGACGTGGTCCTTGTCTTCGTGCGCTCACAGTGTGGCGGCGGATACAGGCATAACCAGGTCATGGTGACATGGATGCTAATGAAGGGCTGCGGAGCATGGTGGGAGACACACAAGATGCCAACCCTGAAGCTCTAGAACTTTCTGAGGCCTCTTCTGATTCCTCAAAGACTCAGTGGTTTCGGTCAGACTTGCGTCACTGGTGGTGCTTTACTGTATTTGGATTCTTTGACATTTGAACATCCAGATACATCATATATAACCATTTTTGGCTAATCAAGAATATTTGATGAGGAACCACTTCAAAGGCTCCTACCCCCACCTACCGTGCCAGAAAACAGAATCCTTTGTAAATCCATCAGGGAAAGAATAATTCCACTCACAATAGCATAAAAAAAAACAACTTAGGAATAAATTTAACAGGAGGGGAGTAAGATTTCACAAAGTACAAAACATTGCTGAGAGAAACTGGAGGTCTAAATAAATGGAACGACATTCCAGGATGATGGGTCAGCAGACTTAAAACTGTTAAGCAATCAACCAACCCTCCCCAAATTGATCTATAAATTCAGTGCAATCCCTACCGAAATCCCAGCAGGCGTTTCATGCAGAAATTGGTAAGCTGACTGTAAAATTCATATGGAAATGCAAAAGACCCAGATTTGCAGAAAACAAAAACAAAAACAAAAACCACCAAGCCCCAGTACAAACAACCATGTATAATCTTGAAAAAGAAGAATAAAGTTGGAGGACGCACCTTTGCCGATTTTAAAACTTACTCCAAAGCCACGGCAACTGAGACAAAGGGGTACTACACATAGATAGCATGTAGATGAAGAGGATTGGAACCCCAAAATTAACCCATGCATTTATGACTGATTGATTGAAGTGCCAAGACAATCCAATGAAAAAATAATCTTTCCGAAATTCATCAAGCTGTCGAGAATCCCTTAAGCCCACGGCGGCAGACCACCTTCAGAGCAGGTTGGGAGCCACATTGCAAAGAGGTCCTTACCACTTACAGAAAGAACAGGAGGGTCACTCTAGGTCTAAAGGCGAACTTGACTCGCCCCAGCCATTTGTATGAGTGAACTGGGTTCTGAGTCCTGTAGGGGTCCTGATGACAGCTAACCTTGACCGGTAGGGGTCGCTCTCCCTGGGGAATTTTTTAGGTTGGGTGAAGAAATAACTTTAATTTAAAAAATTTAAATGTTGTGTTCTACTCGCAGCCTGGGGACGTGCTCCCCACCCCACCCATGTGCCCCATGAGTCTCCTAGTCTCAGCTGTGCTGAGGGAGGAGCTAGTTCCTTCTCAGCGTGTTGGCAAAGAGAGCTGGGAAGCAGTCCGGCTGTTAGCTCTCTCCTCCCCCACCCCCACCCCACCCTGGAGTCAGTGTTGTGCAAGGGTTGAAAGTGGGGCACCGAAATCCTCTCACTTCTGGCCCTGGGTGTCCATTCTGTGGCTTTCCTGCTGTTGACCTCATAGGGCCTCCCTGTGCCTTGGTCTCCTCACCTGTGAAATGGGAATAATAGCTATGTCACTGGTGGGGGGGGGCAGAGGGGTTGTGAGGATTAAATGCGTGATGTGCGCAAGAGTTTAACACAGAGCTTGGTACCTGTTAGAACACAACAAACTTTAGTTATAATGATCATTATAATCACTAATTACAGGTGCTCCTTGACTTATGAGGGGATTATGTCCCAATAAACCTAGCATAAGTTAAAAATATCATAACCCCAAAACACAATACATCTAGTCTACTGAACATCACAGCGAGGCTTAGCCTACCTTCAACATGCTCTGAACACTTCTGTTGGCCTACAGTAGAGCAAAATCATCTAAGACAAAGGCTATTTTATAATAGTGTCGAACATCTCATATAATTTATCATATGTGTTGCTCTTGCAACATTGTAAAATTGAAAAACCATCATTAAGACAGGGGCTGGGATTATTATTATTATTATTATTTATTATTATTATTATTATAACTTAGGTCTTGGCTCTCACTCTACTTAGCTCAGGGCTGGCCAAAATCATGGCAGATACTTCATGAAGAACCCATCAGGTGAAACAATACAGGAGGGAACAGTAACGGCATGGACCAGTGGAGACCCCTTCACGGCACGCAGGGTATCACTGATCCCAGATGCCCGAAGATCTCCAGAAATTGACCCTGTGGTTCCCTCTCACTTCAGGCTTCTTGTGGACAGGAGCCAGGGAGGGGCGGGGTGGGGAGTAGATGATGGTTTAGAGAGGAGCACGTTGATTCATTGGCTGAGGGTGTCCTTGTGTGGGGGTCGGTGATCACTGGCATCTTCAGAGGTGGGAGGGTGGCATCGTGAGCAACTTCCTCTCTTCTAGGACCTTCCCAAAGAGCTTGGCCGCCTCCAGGGCACAGCCCCAGTGGATGGTGAGCCCGTACCCTCCGTGGCCATAGTTGTGAATGACCTGAGAGAGGCAAGAGACAAGGTGGCCTGTTCTGCCCCGGGAGATTCAGGGGCTTTCTGAAGAGTCCTGGGCAAAGCCAGACAACACCAAACCTCTTCTGAGCACCCTAACGGGAGGTTGGATTCCCCGGGAAGAGCAGTAAGGAGATGGCTTGAGGAACTGGAGGTTGACACCCTCGACTTCTCTTCCACTTCGGAGATGAACCTGCTTTACACACTCAGCACAGGAAATGTAAAATCATCTAGAACTTAAGGTCAAATCCTGCTCTAGACTGCCAAACTTCCTGTGTTGACAGACACCTCTTCTACCCAGCTCTGGAGGGAAGAAAGTCAGGGGCACCGTATGAATGGACTCTGGGTAACATGCTAATTCATCCCGGAGACAGAGGCAAGACCCTGGGGCAGTTTTCAAAGCTAAAACCATTAGTGAGGGGTTGAAAATTCCCTGTGTGACTTTCCCTTCTGCACACACACCCCCAGGACAAGAAAGGCAGGGTGTCCTAGACAGGGAGACTGCTTCCCAGATGGAAGCCCAACCGCCACCTGTTCACATCAGTGCCTTCAACCCAGGACAACAACTCCCACGGTTTCAATAGGCCTACTTCCTACCCCAAGAGAGAGAACGCGAGAGAGGACCCCAGGAAGACCATGGAGCAGCCAGAAAGAGACATGAGCTGGAACCAAACTCAAACCACCTCCCAGGCCTGTCCCTCACCAGTGGTCTGATTTGGGCGAGTGACTGCACCTCATGGAGCCCGAGTCTGCTCATGGGAAGTGTGGGGAGAATAGTTCTGATCCCAAAGAGCCGTAGGGCAGATTCCACAACCTCCTTCAGGTCATGGTCACAAAGCAGATGTGCCCATTTCCTTCTACTTGACCTCAGGCTTTAGCAAACCCAGGCACTGCCCTCCAGGTAACCTTAAGCAGAACCTTTACCATCACTGTACCTCAGTTTCCCCATTTATAGAGGAGGTGCTTTTAGCCACCACTACCAAGAACCTGCTTTAGGAGGAAGGAGGGCCTCGCATTCCTAGCCAGCAGAGTGTACCTCTGTGTTTGAAGATCCGAAGCGAAGCTGTTCCCTTTCTAGCTGAATCTGGGGGCGTACTGGCCGGAAGCCAGTGCATTCAGCAACAATTTTGGCCTCCTGGAGAGAAAAGTGTTAGTCATTCATCTCTGGATTATTTTTTCTGCGGCCATTTTTATGTGAGAGACAGTTTGCATTTGGAACCTCACTATCATTGCCAGCGCCATTAACACCATCGCTGTCCATTTTATTCCTCACCACTGCCACCACCTTTGCCAGCCACCACCGTCGTTACTATCACTCGTCACCAGCAGTTTTATCAACTACCCCATCCGCACTGACCACCGCCACTAGTCACCAGCTCATCACCCTCGGAATCGCCATCCCCAGTGTTTTCACCCCTACCAATCCACGCCCTCGTCACACCCTCTTCACCATCAGTCTTGCCATTGCCACGAGCAGGCACGCGGGGAAACTGAGATTCATGCAACAGGTACACCTGTCCCTGGTGAACACAGAGTAAGGTGTTTGGAGGGTGGCACCTCAAGAAAGAGCAACTCTTAGTCATGGCCGTAAAGGTTCCTCAGACCAGAGCAGGTCTTCCCTGGACATTATCAAGTTCTGGAGTATTCCACAGATGCTTGCTGGAATTAATCCACCCAATGATCCCATGGTGGAACCTTCCATGCTCAGGGGTCCTCACGATCGAGCTGCCAGGATCCAGGTCTAGGGAACGGATACCTCTCCCCACCTTACCTTCAGCGTGGGCTCCAGTCTGCAGCAGCCTTCCCAAATGGTGTTGTGGTCTTGAACGTCGTTGACCTCACTCCAGTTCCCCAGCTGGAAGATGCCTCCAAGAGTCAGTGCCTGGATCCTACGTGGAAGTAAGGAGGGTCAAGGATGGATGAAAACAAAGCCTTGTGACAAATGGCGGTCATCACCGTGCTCCCCCGCACCACCACCTCTGCCTAAATCACTGCTACCATCGACTTTGTTATCCCTGCTCGTGACACCATCAACACCACAGCAATTGTCACTGTCACCACCATCAACCACCACCTTCACCATCGCCATTGACGTCACTGTTAACATTGTCGTCTCTTCCACTGTCCAGCATGATGACCACCATTAACACTACCATATTACACACTTAAAACTTGCTAAAAGAGTAGATCTCAAATGTCCTCGCCACGCACACAAAATGTAAGTATATGAGGTGAGGGAATCATTTTACAACATACACACGTGTCAGGTCACTTTACACACCCTAAATGAACACAATGCTGTGTGTCAGTTATATCTCCATGAAGCTGGTAAAAAATATGATCATATCCATCAACAACATCACCTTCACCACTTCCTTGTCACCATTAAGAGTCTCATGCTCTACCGACCGAGCTAGCCGGGCGACATACGTTGTCACCATTAAGATGGCATCACCATCAACCCCGGTCACCATTTCCACCACCATCATTAGCCATTGGTGGTGTCATCTTCTCCACACCATTAACATCACCACTGAGACAGTCGGCATAGCCATGACATTGACCTTGAGGCTGTCGTCTCTGTCACTCTGCTAACATTATCACTGACACCACCATCTCCGTCAGCACTGCCTACCTCCGCCCACCCGACTCCGTCACCATCGTCATCGACACTGACCTCACCAGAAACAATACCGTCTTTGCTACCACTATTTCACCGTCAACAGCAATGTCACCCATCAATCAACACCACCCCCATAATCAGTAACATCATCACCTCTGTCACTAACGTCACCGTCTACTCCAATCACCATTCCCTCTTATTGCCTCAAACTGCCTCCAGTGTCACTGCTGTCATGCCTTTGTCTCCAGCATCACTGTCGTCCAAAAGCGAGTTCAAGAGAGAGTCCAATTAAACCCGAGTCGTGTCTTCTCAGGCATTTAATGGCTCAACCACACTTTAAAAAAAGACATTGGGCCCTGGCTGGTGTGGCTCAGGGGACTGAGCACCAGCCTGTAAACTAAAGGGTCGCTGGTTCAATTCCCCAGTCAGGGCACATGCCTGGGTTGTGGGCCAGGGCCCTGGTGGGGCATGTGAGAGTCAACCACACACTGATGTTTCTCTCCCTTTCTTTCTTCCCCCTTCTCCTTGTTCTAAAAGTAAATACATAAAATCTTTTCTAAAAATTGGGAGGAAAAAAGCCAAAGGGACTAAGCAAGGGGCCTGAGGTGGGCAGCAGGAGCATAATGAGGGCGTAAAGATGCGCCCCCTTCTGCCTAGGATGTCAGGTTTTTACCCTGGGATGATGTACGGGGACTTGTAGATGCCGCTGTCTGGGTCATGGGTGAGGATGAAGTGCTTCACCCAAGGAGCGTCCACCTGTTGGTAGAGGATGGGGAAGCCTCATCAGGGGCACTGGACCAGCAGCCCCCTGCCCTGCTCCACTCTGAGACCAGATGTTTGGATAAGGGGGTCGGTTCCGTAGCCCTCCCAGGACGCTGCAGCCTCAAGTCTGCCCCGGAAAGCCTGCTCTTGCAGGAAGAGCCCCCTGAGTGAGAGCCGGCCTGCTCCCTGACGCATCGCTCAGTGCCACCCACAGGTGCACAGAAAAGCCCAGCACCTGTGTGCAAATGCACACACACACCCATCCCACACACGTCCACACCTAGGAATGCACACATGTATTTTCACAACGGGCATGCCTTGCACACATGCACACACACACAGTGACTACACGGTCCACACAGCGCAGACCGATGCTTACACCCAGGCTCCTAAACCAGGCTGCCTGGGTTCTAATCCCAATTCCACCGCTGACTACTGCATGAACTTGTGCATGGTACTTAACTCCCCAGTTTCCCCTCTGTGAGGTGGCAATGGTGATACAGTACAGGCCACCTCAAAGGGTTGTGGTTAGGGTTAAACGATTCGCACTATAAAGCGCTCAGGCCTGTGCCTAGCACTAAGTAAGCACTTCACAGATTTTTACTCTTTTTGTTTTTATTATTATTATTTGTATCCTCACTCGAGGATATTTTTTCATTGCTTTCAGAGCTAGAGGAAGAAACGGCGGGGGGGGGGACATCAGTGTGAAAGAGAAACATCGATCAGTTGCCTCCTGTACACACTCTAATCCAGAATTGAACCCGAAACCTGGGTACATGCCCTGACCAGGAATCAAATCCTCAACCCTTCGGTCCACAGGACAATGCTCCAACCAACCGAGCCATACCAGCCAGGGCTCTTTTTACTATAATACAAGCATATTTGTGCCTATATGTAGCTCCCACATACGTACAAACATATACACACATGCTTTGCTGTTAGGAGGAAACCCAAAGAGAGAACACTTGGGAGGATTGTGTTGTGTTGGGCTTTGTTGCTTCTTTGACGTGCAGTTCCTCTAACAGGTGTCCCTGACACATCCTCTCGCTTTGCAGATGAAACAAGCAGGCAGCTACAATCTTCCTAGCAACAAAAGTCGGGGGTCTCATCCCTCATCCCCACACTCACCTTAATGACCTGCCCCCGGCCTGGCTGCAGCAGGGGGTCTGGTTGCAGCGCCCCAGCCCACACACCGGTGCAGTTGATAATCACGTCGGCGCCTCCTCTTGCCACCTGGCAGCAACCAACAGGGCATGTGGGGTGGAAGGGGGCGAGGCAAAACGCCTGAGTCGTTCTGGGGCTGACAAAAGCTTAGGGTCTGGGATGGGCCTCAAGGGGACCCTGAGAGGCTGAGAAGGGAGCCCTCAACTCAGCAACAGGAAGCAAAGCCTCTCCTCTCCTCCCTCCCACATCCAGCCCCTTCCAGCCCTGCCTCTCACCTCCTCAAAAGACTCCACCTTCCGCTGGAAGAACTTCACTCCCCTCTCAGTTAACCTGGGGCAATCAGACACATGAAAAAGCTCACTACTCAGTTCTCCACCCCATCTCTCTAAGAGGATGGCATGGGGGACATTTCCCAAAGAACCTTCTGTTCCACCGGATGCTCCCTGAGAAAACAGCTGCGGAGTCAAATCAGCTCACAAGCACCTTGGTGCACTGGTTGGGGAAACCTGAGACGGTCCAAGCTCCAGGTCGGGCAGTTGGCAATGGGAGAAGGGCCTTGTTGAAGGTTGGACAGCAGGGGTGTCAAACTCATGTTCACCGGGGGCCACACCAGTTGCCTTCAAAGGGCCGGATGCAATTTCAACACCTTAACAGTTAAGGAGTAGTTACATTTACACAGTCCTAAAACTGCATTGGGCCCTTTGAAGGCAACAGCAAGGTTGATGTGGCCCCCGGTGAAAACGAGTTTGACACCCCTGTAATGTACAGTGAGTCAGTGATGAGCTGGAACTCAAACCCAGGCCTCTTAGCTGGAGATGCTCCCCCCTACAATCACATTGCTTTTCACTCATTGCTTTTGTGCCCCTTTGTCAGAAGCAGAGCATGAGGAGGGAGGTGGGCTTGGACACTGAGCCTTCCCTCTAAATGTCCCAGCAGAAAAAAAAACATGTAAAAGCTGAAGCATAAACTCAGGACTTTAAAAAAAAATCTACATAGTTTCCTAAAGGTAGAAAAACTGGGAGCATTTGTTCTGGGAAGAGGCTAGTGGAGTCACTCAGTGTCCCAAAGTTAGAAGAAATAACTAAGTTCTAGCACAACAGCTTGCAAACCTGGCTGATAATTAGAATCACTCAGGAAACTTCCTCAGATGCAACCCCGAGATATGAAGCAGGGTCCTCAAATCTATGTTTTTCAAAATTCCCCAGATCATTTGACAAAAGCCACCATTTATTCCATGTTTTTAAAAATCTTAATAAATAGTAATATATAGGAAACATAGAGAATCTTTCTTAATAGGAATACAAATATAAATGTATCTTTCAAGCTAATGTTTGCTAATGTAGAACACAACAAGATTCTTATCAACATCCGGAACAAGGCAGGGACACCCACTATCCCCTGTATTAATTAATATTCTTCTAGAGGTATGGGCCACAGCAGTTAGACAAGAAAAAAAAAAGGAAGCATAAAAATAAAAGGCAACTTATGTTTTGTAGATGATATAAATAGATCTGGAAAACATAACAGAATCCACCTAAAACTATTACACACGTATTACAGATTTTAGTGAGGTCGATAATAAATATCACACGTAAAGAGCTTCCTCAGTGGTTCTGTTGCCCAGTTAGGCATGGGAACCATTGTCTTAGTGCACAGGACCAAGGACAGCGGCTACCACGCCTAAGGGTTAATTAACATTTGGAGTTGGTCAATACAAAGACAAACACCACGAACAACCCTGGACCCTGGGAGGTGCTTTCCTGAAACTAAAGTTGAAAATCTCACCTTTCAGTCAGCCACTGCAGGTACATCCTCCCCTCCAGAATTAGGCTTGTGTTGAACCAGCCATAGCTAGAGTCATAGCAGACAAAGGCAGGAATGAAGGATCAAAGTCAAAGTTATATTTGAAGACTATCAAATAGAAGTGGGAGCAGTGCTGGGCTTTTTTGGGGGCGTGGCTTTCAAAGGTAGAGATAGGTCCACTGGGTGAAGTTCAAGGGGGAAGTGGTTTTGAGCTCAATGCAAAGAAAACCTTTCTACCACGCAAAGCCATCCCTGACATAGGGATATGCAAGTGGAGACCGGATGTGTATTTGTAGAGGGGATTCAAGCATTAGGTGGAGTGAGAAGGGGATCAGAGAAACATTGGGCTGTAGGAAAAAGAACAGAGGGGTTTGGAGTCACCCTGACTGGATTGGAATTCCATTTGGGTCACTTGCCTATGTGACCTTGGGAAGTTACTAGCTTCTCTGAAGCTCAGTTTCCTCATCTATGAAACAGGATAGTGATACGGAGCTCTGGCCTTGAGACCTATGATTCCACATCCCCCAATTCCTTAGCCCAAGGCCCAGTCTGGGTGGGTGTCTCCTCCCAAGGAGCTGGATGGAGCACCAGGAGACCAAGGGATGAAGGGCCCTGGGCATCGGGTGGGACAAGATGTTTGGTGACTCCATCTTCTGCTGCCCTCTGGACAGGTCCACCTGGACTGTGGGGCCTCAGCCCCTTTGCTCATGACAGTAACCTTACCTGTAATCAGGGAACATGTCCAGCTCTCTGTGGGTCAGCTTCCGAAATCCCAACACTATGTCCTTCCAGAAAGGGTCCTGCGGAAGAAGGAGAGAAGGGGGCGCAGGCATGGGTGAAAGTCGATAATAACAACAACAAAAATTTACATCATGTTGACTGTGTGCAAGTATTTTACTTGCATGTAATCTTCACAACAACCCACTGAGCTAGATACTATCCTTATCCCCACTTAATAGACGGGCCCATTGAGGCTTAGAGAGGTTAAGTAACTGTCTGAGATCACACAGCTAATAAACAGTAGAGCTGAGGTCTGAACCCACACAGTTTGGCCTCAGAGTCCAAATTTTCAACCGTTACGGGTGAGAATAAGACTTGGGGTGAGTGATAGGGTTAGTAAGAAGTATGGGAGAAAAGGGAGGTGAGTGAGAGGTGCTGAGGGGTGGGAGTGGGAGGCAGCGAAGCACAGGGTCAGAAAATTAAATGGAGACTTCGACCTCACCACCGACCACCTTGAATTCTCTGAGACTCAGTTTTCTGGTCTGTGTCATGGAGTTGAGTCTCGCTTGGTCCCATGGAAGGTAAGCACATAACGTGGGTAACGCTGTTAGCACAGTGTTAAGTGTTGACTAAACCATGAAGAGCTGGCTTGGGGTTGTGGGCACGCAGCCAAATCACCCTCGCCAAACAACCTGAGAACATCCTCCACGCAGTCACAGACTGCCTGGGTTCGAATCCCAGAGCCACCACTTTAAAGCTTTATGCGCTTAGGTAAGGTACTTTATTTAATCTGAAGAAAGGAGATAATAACACTGACCTCCTGGCTATTGTGAGAATTAATAACTATTTATAAAGTAGTTAGAACAGGGAACAAATGGGATTTAAAGTAAACTGGTCTTGGACACAGAAGTCTGTTGCTTTCGAGACTGACAATAGGCCCCAACCCTGAGGCCCAGCCCCGGTCTTGATCAAGGCTCTGCCCGGTAGCCCAGGACTCCACTCACCGGAACAGCTCTGCGGAAGAGGTTGTAGCCGGAGACTGGGGCCAGGCCCATGCGTGCGGCCTTGGGGGAGTGGACATGGCTCAGGAGATAGTCGAAGGTCTGCTGGTTCCAGTGCCTGGAAGGGTCCCCCAGAGTCGTGTCATAAGACACCCTGAGCTGTGCAAGGCAGCTCTGAGGGGTCACCTTGTGTCGGGCTGTGCTCAGGCTGGTGGGGAAGTGTCCAAAGCCAGCGTCCCTCCACTTTGCACTCCTGCGGCACCCCAAATGCCTACAGGCCTTCCCCCTTCCCAAGCTTTCCAGAATTTCCCCATTAACAGAATGGAGAAGAGGGAAGCAAAAGATGCTCCATCACAACGATTGGGAGCCTAGGTCCAGCTTGGGATCACCTAGTTGCCAAGTTTAAATGAAGGCTTTGACCTATTTGGGGGACTATGAGTGACATACATGGTTCAGGCTTTCTCTGAGCACACCCCGCCCCCCCGCCACTGTAAAAGCAGCTTGCACTCCAATATGCTTTCCTCTTCTCCCGGGGCACCCAGCTCACCTACATTTCTGAGACTTCCTTGCAGTTAGGTATGGCCACGTGACTGCCTTCCAGCCCATGGCAGCTAAGGACTGCGCACCTGTGGTCCTCATGCTATGCTCCTTGCACAGGCGCCAGCCCGTGAGAATGGCAACAGAGGAGGAGGGCAGAGCCATGACATGGAAAGGAACCTGGTCCCTCAATTATCATCCAATGATCGGGAACGCTGGTTTTGGAATTGCTGGGAAGTAAGAGCAGCTGGGGGCTTCAGAACTAACACAACGCCCTTTACAACTTCTTTGCTAAACTTGAGCATTGACCCACCCACTTAGAACTATTCCTAATTCGCCAACGCATGGGGCTTCAACAGCCACCTGGTTTAGGGGAGGAACGGAGACAGAGGGCTCCACCCATCTGGCCTGCATCACTTCTGTCACTGCTAAGATCGTGTGTAGCCTCTGTCTAGCTTAATATTTATTATTTTTTTCACATCATGCCAGGCCATCACCTCCACAAAGGACTTGTAATGGGTGACAGGGACTTGGAGAGGACTCGGCTCCCCTGGCCGCCTGGCTGCCCCCCCCCCCCGGGAACCTCACTCACACCTCCTGTGGGCTGCCGGGGTTGGAGAGGTAGGGCTGCCAGAGGCCAGCAGCCACGTCGGTGGTGGTGAGTGGTGTGAAGCGGTCTGCGTAGATCTTCATGTCCAGCGACGGCAGGACTGAGTGGTAGCGCTCATGGATGCAGAGTGCGGTGGACAGCCCAATGACGCCTGCTCCGATCACGACCACGCGCATTGTGCCAGCCTGCAGGAGGGAAGGGTAGTGGTGTGCCATCGTCACCATCAGCCCCGCCACCAGCACCACCACCTCCGCAAACCTTCTAATACCTGATCCTCTGAATGACCCTCACAAAGGGAAACACAGACTCATGGAGAGACAACGCAACTTGCCCAGGACCACACAGCGTGGGAGGGACACCACTCCCTCTGGGAAGCCTCCCCAAATACACCTTATCTGTTTGGAAATATAAACAGGGCCTAGCAGAGTACCTGGCCAGCTCCAGGCTGGGGAGTCTAATGGTTAGGGCAATGAGCTCTGCCTTCCGATCTGAGATCTCAGCTCTCCCTCCTACTGGCCACTGACCTTGGGCAGGATGCTTCGTAAGCCTCAACTTCTTCTGGAAAATGGGGACGCCAACTCATGCCTCCGAGAGTGGATGAAAGATTCACCACGAAGGCAAATGTAAAAAGCTTAATCCAGGGTCTCGTACAGGGTGTCAAACTCATTTTCACGGGTGGCCACATCAGCTTCACAGTTGCCTTCAAAGGGCCAGATGTAACTTTAAGACTGTAGGAATGTAACTATTCCTTAACTAGGGGAAAGGAGCTCAGCGATGCTGCCAAGTAGAAATGAGATGTCAGGCTGGATAAAACAAGGTGGAGGGGTGGATTCGGTTCGCAGGCCTTGTGTCTGCCACCTGTGGTCTAGTACAGTGGTCTAGTCACTAAGAAGTGACTTAGGACATTTGCGGAGCACCTGCTGTGAGCCAGCTTCAGTGCCAAGTGCTTCCCACGCCTCAATCCATTTAAGTCTCCTAATGTTCTTACGAGGTAGAGCAGTGTTATTGGCTCCACTTTACAGATGAGAAAACTGAGGCTCAGAGAGGTGAAGTCACTTACCCGAGGTCACAGAGCCAAGGAGTGGTGTCACTGGGATTTGATTTCAATTCGAATAAACTCACATGCATTTATTGCACACCTACTGTGTGCCGGGCTGCCAGGTAGTGGATGCAGCTGTGAGAACATCAGATGCACAGGATGCAATGGCTGGCCTCAGAACTCGGGTGTCCCGGCGCACCCCCTCAGGGGCAGGGCTGCCTGGGTTCTCGGGAGTATGGGAAGCCTAGCAGCTTTTGACCTTGAAGCTGCTTGGGCCCCCACAGCAGGGAAATATTCTTCCGGCTCCCGCTGAGGCAGAACAAGGGGGCATTTGTGCCCAAAAGGGCCAAATTCAACTTTCCCTCCTCTTCACTCACAAGTCTCCCCCTCCAGACCTCGCTCCTGGCCCGTGGCCCTGAACGGCAGGGCATTCTCAGCGCGGCCTCGTTTTGTGAAGCGGGAAATGACTCCAGCCCACAAGAACTGGACTGTTCTGGGGTTTCAGCAGCCAAGTGGAAGATAAAATCCCAAAACAAAAAGGCGTCATTGCTTTGGATGATTTTTCTTCCAGTTGCCAACCTGGGCTTGGTTGGGGGGTCAGGGACCCCCAGCCTCCTCCCTCAGCCTCCTCCTCTAGAGAATACGAGTAACCAGAGCAAAGAAAAGAACGCCGGGTGTAGAGGAGAAGAGAGGAAGGAGGGAGAGTCAGGCTGCCGGCTCACTGTGTGACCTTGGCTGAGTGGCTTCCCCAGTCTGTGCCTTCTGCTTGTCTTCGCGTAACCTCCACAGAGCTCAGCACTTCTGTGCATGAGCAGTAAGAAGGCAGGAATAGAGGGCCTTTCCGTGTTTTCCAAATTCCCCATAATGAATACAGGAGGAGGCATGGCTTGGGGAGGCGGCAATACCAGCCCAGGCTGTGGGTCAGACCCACCCAGGTTCACCGCTGGCCCAAGCACACACCAACCGTGTGACCCCAGACTAGACACTTCATTTGACTGAGCAAGGGTGACCGACCTCCCTGATTTCCTGGACGGAGGGCGTCCCCAGGATGTAGACCCTGAGTGCTAAAACCAGGACAACTCCGCGACAAACTGGAATGAGTTGCTCATTGTAACCAAGCCTCAGTGTCCTCTCCTATAAAGTTTTAAGGGTTAACAAAGCTCCTGGCTTTTTATCCCCCCACCAGAATATCAGCTCTGGTAAAGCAGGGACTTTTGTCTACTGCTCTAGGACCTAAAACAGTACCTGGCCCATAGCACCAACTCACAGGTGAGTGAATGAATGAATGAATGAATGATTGGATGGGGTTCTTATGAGAATCAAAAGAGAAAATCCTTGAAGGTGCTTGGGAGCTCATAAATTAAACCAGCAATCACCATCATCCCCAGTTTAACAGATGAGGCAGCTGAGGCTGGGAGAGGCCAAGGTTACTTAGAGGTCACAGCAAGAGCTGGAGGAAGGGAGGCGGAGTGAGGCCAGCTCTGCTTTTCTGGGACGCAGTTGTTTCCACTCTCACACCACCCAAAGGATCAAGGGTGAAAGAAAGCTGTTTATGTAACAAAAGTATGTGAGGTGAGAGAAGAGAGTGTTTGAAACTGCTTACGAGGTCTCTGGGCAGAGAGAAAGAGGCTTTGGGCAGAAGCTGAGTGGGCACGTGGCGCGTCTCCGGTAAGGAGCCAGGCTAGGGATGGTGTCACATGCCCAAGAGAACAGCGTGAGGGACGACCCAGAGACACTTCTGGAAACAGCTGGCAAGATAGAGGGACGAGTCACAGCATGGGGCTCGTTTCTGCAGGTGTAAAAATTCTAAAGGTGAGGGAGACAGGGCGGGGGGTGGGATGGGAGAAATAGATAAAAAAATGTACTTGAAAAGTAAGTAAATAAAATTTATTATTAAAAAAAAAAATTCTAAAGGTGAGCAAGGCATCGCCATGCAGGTGGGGAAACTGAGGCCCAACGAAGAGAAAGGACTCGGCTGAAGACCCACACTTGTGAAAAAAAGATGTGTGCGGTCTTGAGGTTAAAAAGCCCCCAAGAAAGCTGGGAAGAAGCCACGTCCAGAAAAGAGCTAGATGTGAAGATAAACAATGACAACAGCCGCTCCTTTCAACTCGTAGGGTTCTTCTCCTGTAACTTTCTACCAACCCTCGGGGTTGTTATGATGCCCATTTTCCAGAAAAGGCAACTGAGGCTCAGCCAGCCAGCTGGTGAGAAGCAGAGCCCAGGCTGGCCTGGGTCACAAGTGAACAATCTGAAGGTCAGGCAGGTGAAGCGAAACCCCTATGTTTCACAGAAACTCCTGCATTGAAAAAAAATAAAATAAAATACAAGAACTTTAGAGATTTTTCAGTGTGTTGGTGATAGGTGTAGAGTTGAAGAGGGGAAGACATGTGTCCTAAATTAATTATCTTAATAAGCAATGTGAGTCCAATTTAATATTGATTATAGCAACTTTGTGTGTGTGGGGGGGTATATGCGTGTGTAATTGTAGCGTCTCTGTGAGGGTGGAAGAGAAAGGGAATGATCTTGGCCATCTGTCACTTGTCAGACTGTACAGTACAGACCTTCCTCTTCATCCTCTCAACTGCTCTGGAAGGTTCTACAGAGGCGGGACTGAGGTTCCGGGAGAGGATGCCACTCTCCCGCAGTCACCCCAGCGGTGTGGGCCGGAGTTCAGATCTGAGCTTCCCACGCTGTGCTGTGAACCTCCTTTGCATCCGGCAGCAAGTCAGCACAGAGGCTTTCTGCTTGCCTTTCGGTCTTGCATTTCTTTGCTTATGACCTCCCTTGTCCCGAGAAAGGAATGTGAGGCAATCCTGCCTTCCATGGCTATATGTGCATAGCAAAGAACAGGAAAGATCGTTCTGAAAAAATCAGCAAATCACGGGTGAGGTATCTGAATGAACATATTAGCTCTTCCAAGTGGCACCATGTGGCCGCGTCTCATGAAGATGAGGTTTTCAAAGTTTATCTTCAAACTGGGACAGGTTCTATAAATGCTTGATAGCCAGACTACCTGCTACCTGCCCCCCAAATAATAATTACCATGTACTGAGTACTTGCTTATATGCCCAGTTCTGTGCTAAGAGCTGTACATTACTCACCTATTTGAATATTCAAATTAACCCTGGAAGAGGTAAGTTAGGATCCCATCTTCCATATAAGGAAACTGAGACTTGGAAAAGTGAAGGTGCTTACCTGAAGTCCCTGTCCGACTCCAAGGCTGTCCGTCCCCTGCCTCGGGCTCTGATGCGGAGCCTTCTCTGTCGACATCGGGGAGGACATGAGTTCTCCTGCACCCCTGCCCCACCAAAAAAACACCCCCACTCACCTGATATGCCAAACTTCTGGAGAAAAGAGGCAGCTGCCGTGGGTGCAGCGTCCTATCTCCCGAGGGCAGGCTCCTGGTTCTGGGGCGTCCCGTCCTCAGCCCTCTGCCTGCCAGCCAGGACTGGAGCTCAGGGTCAAAGTCTGGAGTTCTAGACAGGGCACAGCTTGGCACTGTGCTGCCTACAGGGGCTGAACCTGGGCCAGGCTGGGAGACCTCACCTCCCCTCGCTCTCAGTCCCTGAAAAGCTGCCTGACTTTTCTGGCGGATCCCGAGCCCCTGTGTACAGTCCTCAATGGAGGGAGGGGCAGGCGGGGGTTCTTGGAGGGCTGATGGGCACAAGGAGGCCTGTCTCCCAGGCCAGCTGGAGACGATCCTCTTTCTTCTCGCTTTCTGCTGCCACCCTCGGGGAGGGGGAGGGTCATTCCCTGGCTGGCAGGGTGGGGGTGGTCAGTCTGGCAGCCTCTGTGGGAGGCCAAAGGTACAGACAGGACCAGGGCTCCAAGGGCCAGCCGGCCAGCTCAGTGCCATTCTGGGACACTAGGTGGGTAAAGCCAAGAAGAGACACACCCAAGGTGGCGCCTGTTTGGGCCATGAGGACACTGGTGCCCCAGAGACACTGGCAGCAGGATCCCGGGTCCCTCCTCCGCCAGGGCTAGACTATCATTATTAAGGCTCGAAGGTCATCAGGCACATCCCTGTATGGACGGGGAAACTGAGGCCCAGAGAGAAGAACCAGCCCGACCTGGGTGAGACACCCCTCAGGTCTGCTTAGAAGATCCAGCCTCTCCCCACCCCACCCCCCACCTTCAACATCATCAAAAAAAGGGGAGAGGATGAAATCGGAGAATGCATGCCCAGCACTTAGTGCATAGTATTTTTTAATAATTAAAAAAGGATAGGGTGAACTCTACCTTTTACTCCACAGGCTTTCATGTTTTAAGAATAGCCATGTCTCACTTTTATATCACACAACCTTGGGAAAAGTCCTTGTGTCTCAGGTTCATGGTGGAAACACCTCAACATGAATACAAGTCAATCAGATATCTTCACAGTCCCGCCCACTCCCATCCTAGCAACGCTTTAAGGTTTGTGAATTTCAATGTGCCAGTTGTAAGTACTTGAATGATCTCATTTAATCTCACAACATCTCTATAACTAGGTGCTGTCATTATCATTCCTTCCTTCAATTCAAAAACTTGCTCCCAGTATCCACGAAAGCTAAACATACAACTATTGTAAAACCCAGCGGCCCTAATCTTACGTAGATCTCCGAGAGAAACGAAAACAAATGCCAAGCAAGAGGCTTGCATAAGAATGTTCATGGACCCAAACCAGAAACGACAAAATCTCTATCAGCTAGCAAATTGTGGTGTTTTCCGACAAGGCACACCGTGGAATATTAAGCAGCAACGAAAAAGACAAATACCGCTACACACAGCAACCTGGATGAGTCTCCCAGTCCTTGTGTGAAGCGGAAGAAGCCAGACAAGAAAAATCCCATACTGCATGATCCCATACATGCGAAATTCAAGAAAAGACAAGACTTTTGGATGGTGATAGAGGAGACGGAAAGAGCGATTACCTCGGGGGGAGGAAGGAGCAAGAGGGAATATTCTAGGATGATGGCAAGACGCACCTTTATCTGGGTGGTGTTTGCCAGAGCGTAGGCATACGTGAACATTCATAAGCTGTACATTTAAGAATAAGATGGGTATACTTAATACCATTGGAAAGAAAGAAGGAGGGAGAAGGAGAAAGAAAGAAGGAAGAAAGAACGAGAGGGAGGAGGGAGGAAGGGAGGAGAGAGAGAGAAAGAAGGGCCTTGCTCATGGTAACAGGGCCTGTGATCAGAGGCTTACAGCTGAACCCAGGTTAGGGATGCCCGGTCTAGCAAATAAAAATACAAGGTGCCCTGTATTTGATCTGGGCGATCTCTACGCAGACAATGCCCCAGCCCCGCCTCCAGGCAATTTGTATCCAGAACTGGAGCACTAGGCCACCGGGCTAGAGAGCTTCATTGAGTGACGAGAGCCAAGGGTCTCAGGGACAACACGGGCACTTTCCACACAGCAGGGCAGGACGCTGGGGTTTCAGAGAGTCCTGTGCTCCGTGTAAAAAGTGTATTCGGTAGTATTATTTAATTTGGGGAAATGAGGTAAGGGGTGAATCCCTATTGTTTTCATGACACAGACTACAGAAAGTGAACTTCCACAGAACATTCTTGGCTTTTGGACTAAGTAGATGATATTCCCCAGGAAGGATGTGCAATTTTTAATCTTTAGCAGCAGGGGACATAGTTGTTTATAAAGTCAGTCCCCGTAGGATCTGACTTTAAAAATTGTTATCAATGGTGCTGTGTGAATGAATTCCGCTGTCTGTCGTCCAGTGGGAACAAGTTCAGGACACGCCACAATGATACGTGAACTGGGGTCGAAACGGCACGTACAACGCGATACCATTTTTGTCACATGAGGTGGTGTGTTCATGTTACACTGTTTGGGGCTATTTGCCCAAAATGTGAATGGCTTCTCTTTCCTGGTGGTGGGATTGGTGACAGGGTAATAGGACTTTCTTTACGTTTTCTGTATTGTATAAATCCTGGAGATAACGATTGTCTTAAGACTCAGAAAAGTTATAATGAAGCTCATTGTGTCTGAGAGAGAGAGTGTGTGAGGGGGTTAACTTGTTACTCTGTGACTTCACATGGCTCCCCGACAGAGTCTGACCCCCCCGTAAACCATCCTTCTGCCCTGGCCTGAGTGTCCCCCCACCCCCTGAGTGGCTGGGAGACATTGTTTATCAGCCAGCCAGTGGGTCAGAAAGATCCTTGATTCCTAACACTTTAGCCAAATAAACAAAAATGACTTCCAAAGGTCTTTTGTGGCCTTTTAGCACAATCAGTAAACTGGACTTCAGAACAATTTCTCAAGGGCCTTGCGATCACCCCACCGAGTGAGCCTGATACCCCTGTGGGACTTAGGGCGCATCCCTTTCTCTTCTGGGGCCTTACTTTACCCAACTGTAAAATGGGCAGATTCAACCAGTTGGGTGTTTCTCAACTTTTTCTTTTCCTTTTTCTTTTTTACTTAATTCTTACCCTAGGGTATGTTTTTATTGATTTGAGAGAGAAGAGGAACATTGATGTGAGAGAGAAACATCGACCAGTTGCCTCCCACATGCACCCCAACCGGGGATCAAATCCCCAACAGATATGTGCCCTGACTGGGAATTGAACCTGCAACCTTTCGGTGTACAGGACGATGATGCTCCAATCGAGTCTCCAGGCCAGGGCCAGCTCCCTTCTCTTTACCCTTACTTTTTGGAGTTTGCCTACTCTTCACCCACAGTTACCTCTTTGGGGTGCAGGGATAGTGATAAGGCCAGGACCTTGGAGCCAAAGCAGACTCGGTAGGTACCCCAGCTTTGTCCTCCTTACCCCTGTGCTCTTGGCTGGTCCTGAAGGAAACCAGAAGGCAGTCAGGAGGTCACAGGGCCGAAGGTCCAAGTGCACGCGCTTCAGTATCCACCCCTAGCTCCACCCCTCATGGTCCCCAGGATCTCAGCCAAGTTCCCCCTTAAAGCTTTGTAGGCAGAACTGGAAAAAAAAAAACAACTAAGTAACTAGAGACTTTCTATAACCGCAAAATTAAAATGAAATAGTGATTGCCACAGGACACAATGCACAGTATATGCCCAGTATATATGGTAAACAAAATTCAACGGAATAAAAATGTAAAGATCTTGTTGCCTTTATTCAATGACTCATGGATCTAGCAGCATCCAGTCTAGCAGATGGAAAGGACATCCGACGTGCTGTACGAAATGAAAGGCTCTTATAGACAGAAGGGAGCTGGAACAGGGAAGTTATATCTGCTGCACAGAAAAGCAGATTGGTCATGACAGGAAGACTTTCCTTTAAGGGATGAGAGGGGTTTATTGGGCAGATTTCCTAACTGGTACCGATCAAGCAATTCCTGGCTGACTTGTTTAAAGATTCTATTTCTGGGAGAGTTGGAACTGTAATTAAGTTAAATCTAGGTTTGATCACATGGCGCTTAGCATAAGCAATTCCATTTTGGGCCTGTTGTCTTGTTTTTAGGCCCCGGCCAGGTAGCTCAGTTGATTAGAGCATCATCCCCTTGTGCCGGGGTTCCAGGTTCCATCCCTGGTCAGAGCACATTCAGGGGTTAACCAGTGAATACGTGAGTGGGTAGAAGAGCAAATTAGTGTTTCTATCTCTCTGTCTCCCTCTCCCTTCCTTTCTCTCTAAAATCAGTCTTTAAAAATACGTGTTTGGGTTTGAGAAGTGAGATATCATTGGTCAACTGAATATTGTCCATACTTTTGTTTTATACTGAACATTTAAAATAAGTGCTTAATAAGTATGGCAGCCTGTCCAGCAACAGTGAAGCTACAGGCACAGGCGTGTTGGGTCAACCGCTCCAGCATGAAGAGGGGGGTTGCCATCTATAAACTTCTTTCCCCAAACGAGAGCCACTCCTGACAAAGCTCTCAAACAGAACAGAGTATCTAGTCTTCCCTCTCTTAAAACATAGCTGCATTTCTGACAATTTAGTAAAGAATACTTTGCGTTAATATATAAAACGGAGTTAGGTTCTGGCTTCAGATAATTATGAACCTGGTTTTCATCCAAGGCAGGTGTCTTGTGGGAACGGAACGATTCTTTTCTGAGTGGCTGTCCCGTGCATCGCAGGACATTCAGCCTTGCTGGCCCCTCCCTCTAAACTCCAGTAGCACCGGTAGCTCTACCGTCCTCATTGGTTAGACAAAAAATATCCCCATAAATTTCCTCCCCCCGCAAAAACGCTCCATAGGGGTGGTAGTGCCCCCGCTGAGAATCACCTTTGAGACAAAAGGTGCAGGAGGCCCAAACCCCTGGATCTGAGGGAGGCAGGGGGAGGGACCTAGGAGTGCACCTGGGTTTCTGGTTGGGCGGTGAAATGGATGATGGAGCCAGTTTGTTAAGATGGGAGGCTGGACTGGATCACTACCTTTGCCATGTGCCAGGGAAGGGATTTTGAATGAAAGAAAAGCTTCCAATTACCGAGTCAAGCTAGCACCACTTTCCTGGTATCTTACTCCACGTCCCTCTCTCCATCCCCATACTGGCCTCCTCTCCTGGGGGAAGACAGCAGCAGTTCCCTCGCCGGTCTTCCTTCGCTCCTCTGGCCCAAAAGTCCAGTTTCCACACAGCAGCCAGAGCTTCCTACAGCGCCCCCTGCCTCTTGCCATTCTCCAGAAAGCCTCCCCAGACTTCCCTGCCCCCAAACAGCTGGCTGTGAGGAATAAGAGTGAGGAAATAAAACGGAGTCACTAGAGTCATGCTGCTAAATTACTAAAATCAAGTAGGTTGAAGTATGAGGAAATGGATTCTATTCTGGTTCTAACTAGCCTGGGAACTTAAACTTATGAACTTTCCAGTCCTGTGTCGATGCCTGAGTATACATGAGTCCTCCAAATTACCCTGTGATTAGCCCCGAAGGACTCACATATCCAGACCATCTGGCATCCATCATCCAGACTGCCTCTCCTCTGACTGGGCCTCCCTGACTGGTATGGTCCTGGGCCAATCCTAGGCTAAGAATGCGGGACTGAGTATTCTCAAGAATGTGCTTTTTATTATAAGAAATCTTAACTTTCTTTTTCGGAATATTTCTGGGGTTTTGCCTACCTATGTTTCTGGTTTACAAACCCTAAGACCCTTGAATAAATCTTTAGCATTTCTTTCTAGCCAATGTTTTCTGATTCACTTATGCTTAATTGACACTGGGTTTCTGGACACATAGAAGGAATTCACATAAAAAGATTAGCAAAATAATTTTCAAAATGTGCCTAGTATAGTAGTACCTCCTTATCCATGGGGGGTACGTTCCAATACCCCCAGTGGGTGCCTGAAACTGTGGATAGTACGGAACCCTATATATGCTATGATTATTCCTATACATACATACCTATGGTAAAGATTAATTATAAATTAGGCACAGTAAGATATTAACAACCACCATAATAAAATAGAACAATTATAACAATATACTGTAGGAAAAGTTATGTGAATGTGGTCTCTCTCAAAACATCTTACCGTACTGTACTCCCCCTTCTCTTTCTGGTAACATGAGATGATAAAATGCCAAACCAACCCCCTAATGTCTTTAACCGCCCCTCACTTGCAGTTAAGTGGTTTGGTACCACTCCTTTTAGGAGATCCCTTGCTGAGGTCTTCCTAGAGGGTTAAAGCTTTCTGGCACAATCCGTTTTCTGTTTATCCACCCCTGCCCCCAAATTTAAGGCCTTTTCCGTTTTAACTAAGCACTTATCACACACTATGGCTGTAACTTTTGCAGCTTGAGGAGCAAGAAAACCAACACGAATTTCTTGTTCCTTTTTCACAATTTCGTGGATAGGTTTGCTCTTACCATAGGTTTTAACAACCTCAGCATACATTTTTTTTGCCTTAAGTCAAGAACTGTCACCTTGTCACTTTTCAAGGAAGCCCTCCTCAGCCTTGGCACGTCCAAATTGTGGTCATCCCTATCCTAGCACTTTGGGGCTATTACTAAGCAGAATAAGGGTTACTTAAACAGTAGCACAGTGATACTGAGACAGCGGATCTGATAACCAGCTACTAAGTAACTAACAGGTAGGGAGTGACACGGAGACAAAGGGATGATTCATGTCCTGGCTGGACTGAGCGGGATAGCTTGAGATTTCATGATGATAATCAGAGGGGTGCACAATTTAAGACTTATGAATTGTTCATTTCCGAAATTTTCTGCTTAATATTTTCGGACCGCGGGTAACTGAAACCGGGAAAGCGAAACTGAGTTAAGGAAGAACCACTGTAACGAGATTAACTTTTGTAAAATCCTTATCTATCTTGCTCACCGTTCAATACTCCGCGCTCAATAAATATTTCATAGATGAATGAGCAGATGAATGGCTTAATTTCTGCAAAGACTGCCTACAGGGGTTCCAGGGCAGGGATCAAGGATGTTTTAATTTCCTAGTCCCTGCGCCTCTCCACCCCTCTCGCGAGCAGTCCAGGCTGCGTTGCCATCCGGCCTCGGTTCCCACGCTAGTGCAGGGGGCAGGTCTCCGGAACCGGCGCTCGTAGACTGGTCTCCCAAGCTGAGGGCCCGGCGCCCCAGCTGGAGCGCGTGTGTTCAGCCCGCGCGGAACGTGACTGGCTGGCCCGTCAGGGCCTCCGGCGTCGCTATTGCTCCCGCGCCGCGCACGCGCGTAGCCCTGAGCCCCGCCCCCAGCCCTCCCCCCTCCCCTCCCCCCCGCTCCCAGCCCTCCCCCCCTCCCCTTCCCCCAGCTCCAAGTCCGGCGCGCGCCGGCGCGGGAGGCGGAAGGTGGGGGGCGGGGGCGGGGGCGGTGGACGCAGAGGGAGAGGGGCGGGCCCGGCCCGGCCCGGCTCGCCCCGGCCGCCCGCGCGCGGCTCCTAGAGCGCCCCGGGCCCAGCCCGGTTGGCGGCGGCGGTGGCCGTAGCCGGAGGCCTCGGTTGTGCCCGCCCGCCGCGCCGCAGACATGGCCCTGGTGACCCTGCAGCGCTCGCCTACGCCCAGCGCCGCCTCCTCCTCCGCCAGCAACAGCGAGGTGAGCCCCGGGCCCGCGGCCCTGGCGGCCGAGCAGCGGCGGCCCAGTAGCCGCCCGCACCAGGCCTTGGCCGCGAGTACGGGGCGGAGGGCGCTGGGGCAGCGAGGGGGCTGCTGCGAGCGGTACAGGGCCTGCGGGGAAACTGCTGTACCACCCCACCTGACCAGCCGGACTCGAGTGACTGTGTGGGAGACTGTGTGCGAAGTTGTGACCCCAGCCTGGTAGTGACTGCAGGATCCTGTATGCGAGTGTGAACCACCCCCCCACCCCCGGTCTGGGGGTACTGTATATTGCCTGTGTGATCCCTGACTGGGCGTGACTGCAGTGAAACTGTTTGGCTGTGACCCCTGCCTAGGGGTGACTTTGCAGACACGGTGTGTAACAGTGACGCCCCGCCTGGAGGTGACTATGCGGGAGACTGGATGTACGACTGAGACTCCTAATTGGCTGACTGCGTGAGACGCTGGTTCTGAGATTTGTGACCCTGTGGCTGGTCCAGCCCTCTCCCTGGGCGCCTGGCTGTGTGTATGTGAAACTGTGCGACTTTCACTGCATGTGAGTGTGGCCTGTGTTCTGGAAACTGCGCCAGTGTAATGCTTCGAGAGAGGCCACCAGCGTGCCCCCATGAATGTGTGAGATTGTTTCCTTGATTTCGTGCCCCTGGAGTCCTGGCTCCTGGTGTCAGTGGCTGTGCCTGTGTCATTGTGACAGTGACTAAGTAGGCTCAGGGTGCTGTGTGACTAGTGTCCTATGTCTTTGTGTGCAGCAGAGTCTGGGTTTTTCCTTTTTGTAGTATCTCTGGGGGCTACATGTTTACCTGCATCTGACTGTGTTGCAGAGGCTGATTCTGGTGCTTCTGCCATTGCACAGATGCATCCTGAGGCTGCAAGGTTACCCTGCACAGGATTCTCTGGGACTGTGTGTGATCAATCCAGCCTACGTGTGGCTGGCTCCTTGTTCTGGGGTCATTGGGAAATTGGTCCTCTGGAGCCTACAGTCAACAGGACTGCAGTAGACTGGGGCATCAGCCCTCCAAGCAGGTCTTTGTGGCAGCTGCAGGGCCCACTTTCTTGTCCCCACTCTTGCCCACTTTCTCCTGGAGAACCAGTTAAGGCCTTGGGTCTGAACTTACATCCATGGCAATGCTGAGTGCTGGCTTGAAGATAGAGCAGCTGGAGGAGAAGACTGTGGACTGTTTGGAGAAGGAAGAGAAGGCTGGAGGAGGAGGAGCCCTGCAGACCCAGGAAGTGGCCCCGCCAGCATCTGAGCTACATAGGCCCCTTCTCTATGGGGGAAGTTGACTGAAGTTCAGGAAGGTTGGTGTGTGTCTGTGAGAGACAGATATGAGGACTTGGATATGGTTTAGCAACTCCATCTGTCCCACTGGCTCGTGGCAGGGTAGATCTTTGGCCTGTCCTGCTGGCACTGGCAGGAAGGAACATTTTCGGACTGGCTGCCCTCCCCTCCTCTCAAGGAGAGGCTGCTACATGACTTATCTTGTCCACAGACAGAAGATTCTAGTAGTCCCTCCTCTGCATGTTGAGAAGGGACATGGGTGGCCATTGCCTGTGGCCTGGGAGCCAGGCTGCAGTCATTTCTGTCCTCCCCACAGAAACATCTGTTCCCTTATTGCCATCTTGTGATTGACAAAGTCCTTCTCTGCAGTTAATCCCATGTTTGCTTCTCAGCTATACGAGATGAGTGGAGATTCAGTGTGAGAAAGGGCCTCCCAGCCTGGATCTCTGGTTCTAAACCCCACGTTCCTGGCATTACTTACACCAGATCTATCCCTGCCTTAGACACATGAAAAATGCTTTATTCCGTTATTTCTTCGCTGAGATATAATTCACATACCATAAATGCCCCACATGAAGTGTGTAACTCAGTGGTCTTTGGTGTATTCACAAGGTTGTGCAGTTGTTGCCCCTGTCTCATTCCAGAACATTTCCATTACCCCAGAAAGAAGCCCCCTACCTCTTGGCCGTCACTCAGAGCTTTCCTCCCACCATCCATCACCCACCACCCCTGCACTCACACCAACTCTAGGCAGCCACTAATGTACTTTCTGTCTCCATGGATTCGCCTGTCCTGGGCATTTCTTGTAAGTGGGATAATATAATGTGTGGGCTTTAATCTCTGGCTTCTTTCACTTACGTCACGTTTTCAAGGCTCATCTGAGGCGTACGCTGCATCGGTACTTCATTCCTTTTTATTTCCGTTGTATTGATGAACCACATTTTGCTGGACATTTGGGTTGTTTGCACTAGAGACATTTAAAGTTATTACATAAAGCACAAGGTGCCAATGACCTGATACACATAGACTCTAACTCAGCCAGCTTTTATTTGACTTGCGTCAATCAGCAGCACTAGTTGCCCAGCGAGCGAGCCCAGGCAGGACTGTTTCCTGGAAGGCAAGGCTTCCAGGTGGGATGAGGCGTGGGAAAGCAAGACTGAACAGAGCTAGCGTCTGCGTGCTGGCCAGAGACCTGGGCCAGGTGGCTCTGCCTCTGGCCTGACCTTCCTCAGCTTACCTCCCCTCTCTGGGCCTCAGCTCATTCAAAAGGGCTGAGTTCCCCCCTTGTGTGTGTTCTTTGACAAATGTGGTTTGTTTCTTTGGAGTAACTGACCTGACATTGCCTTTTATGCTGACAATCACAAGAGAGTGACCAAGAAGTATCTACCCCCAGATCACTTCCTCATTCATCAAAATTCTCCTTTGAGGCAGAGACACTTAGGGCAGTCGTGTCCTGACCCAGCCTGTCCTGCTGCATGGCGTGGGAACTGAGGGACATCATAGCCTGGCCAGCAAAACAATCCTCCCTTCTCTCTTAATCGTTTTCTCCCTTTTTTCCCCAGTCTTTAATCATCTCACTTAAGTCATTTTACGGTTAACCTTATCTCATTCCTTGGTGGGAATAGGTAGAGGGCACGAGAACAGATAAATCAATAACTGTCAGGAGTGGATGGTCCCATTGTTGTTTCTGACAGACATTCAAGATGACGACTTTTCTCAGGGACATGCCCAGTCCATTTTGCCTGCGGGGGTTGGGTCAGAGTTTCTGAGCCTCAGCACTGCTGACGTTGGGGCCGACAGTTCTTGGTTGCGAGGGGCGGTCTTATGTATTGCAGGATGGTTACTAGCACTCTGTCCTCTACCCACTAGATGCCAGTAGCACCCGTCAAAAAGAGCCTGCAGGCATTGCCCAGCATCCCCTTCGGAGCAGAGTTGCCCCCGGGTGTGAACTCTGGGTTAGCCCAGGCATGCCTGTCCAGGCGTGTTGTGGGGGGATGGTGTGAGTGGTTTTCTGTGTGCTTCACTTCGGGGCCTGAATCTCCTGGGCCTGTGATTTTTCTACTCAGTAAGGGGGAGTGTGAGAACTCACTGGCCACCAGTGTATGTCTGCCTTGGCATGAGTCTATACATGCATTATCCTAATACAACTAAGGGACTCCAGAACCCTCTGGCATGTGCCCCTCTCAGGCCAGGCCCCTCCCTACATTAGCTTGCACCCTTTTCCCATCGCTGTCAGGTTTCTGTCCTCGACCAGCCTTGCATCTCTCCCAGCCATCGCTACTTTCCAGGTTTCTCCTTCCCATTCAATGGGCGCCTCTGTGTAACATACAAAACATGCCAAGTCCCAGTGGTGCAGTTGTTTGCGGTGGGGATTGAGGCGGGGGTGTGTATTCTCATTTCAGTTTTCTCCTTGAAAGAGGGGGCAGGGGAAAGGAAAAAAAAAAGGAAAAATTACAGTTGGGGCTGAAGGTCTCGAGTACTATCAGAGCCCCCCCTTTTGTCTTTTTACCTTTTAGAAAATATTAAATGTCCCTCCTTTTCTTTCATTTACATAAATAAACTAATCACCTAGAAAGTTTTATATTCATCATTTAAGCCTTTTTGAGAACCAGCGAGAGCTTTTCAGATCCACGGCCCGCCGGCCTGATCCTGGCCACCCTTCATTGTGAAAGACCTGCCTGGAGTGTTGTTGTTTTTTTTTTTAAACCCGCCTGTTGAGGCTTAAAATGGTGTTGATCACTCAGCTATGGCCTAGTTTGAAGGAGGAAATGGATTATCTTAAAACACAGCCCCCTCCCCTTAAAAAAGAAAAACAGGATGAGATCCAAAGCAACCCTGGAAAGTTGAGAACTGGAGGCTGAGCGAGCGTGTGGAGCAGCAATGCCAGAAAGCCTTGTCCGATTACCAGATACCCGTCCACGGTGCTGCGGAAGGAATGTGGGTAAACTCGGGCAGCTTCTGGATTCCTCCGTGGGAATGGCTCCCAGGAGCGGCGTCAGCAAGGGATCCGTGTCAGTAAGGAAAGGGTGCCCTGTTTAGAAGTAGCCAGCTTTCCTGGACAGCTGTGTCTTTCTGACACCGAGCAGAAAACGTTGAGACACAGCCTGAGGCTTTTTGCTGGTGTTGTCTGTGGCGTGACTCTCTCTCTCTTTCTCTGTAGTTGGAGGCTAGCAGTGATGAAGATCGCAAGTTAAACCTCAGGTAAGCAGCCTTTTCTTTTCAGTCATGAAGTCTTTCTTCCAAGCAGGTAAGAAATACTCTTGTTTCTTTCCAAAAAGGAGAAGCCCTCAAAAAAGAACACACCAATTTTTTTAGTAGTGCCTTAAGAATTGTACATGTTTCATTCTAACTGGTGTGGCTCAGTTGGTTGGGTATTATTCTGCAAAGCAAAAGGTTGTTGGTTCAATTCCCGGTGAGGGCATGTGCCAGGGTTGCTAGTTCAGTCCCCACTCCAGCCACGTGTGGTGAGGCAGCCGAGTGATGTTTCTCTCTCATGTAGCTGTTTCCCCCCTCTCTCCTTTCTCCTCTCTTTAAAAATAAATAACGTCTTTAAAAAAAAAAATATATATATATATATATATATATATATATATATATGTTTAACTATAGACTGTCTTAATAACATTATATAACATTTTGGAAAAAAAGAAAATTAATTGTCCTTATTCTTCTACCCTTACTCTACCAGTAAGAGATGAGCATCCTTATGTACCTTCTTCCAGATTTTACCCTTTGCTTTAAAAAAAATAAAATCATGTAATGTGTTCTCACATTTCTATCCTACTTTTGGTAAGATCTTTTCTGAGGTAAGGACATTGCTGATTTGAAACAGACATTCAACCCCCTAAGTTTATTAATTCAAGGTGGTTTTTTTTTTTTTTTAGTGCTTATGAGAAATCTTTAGCTATACTCATTTAAAAAATTCCCAAAGCTGTAGTCCTCAGTTGCTATATTAAAGAGTAGACACCAAAAGCAGTTTTGTTTTCCTTTGCACACATTTGAGGTTTTTTCCTTTGAGTATTTTGTCGGTTTACAGAAGATTTAGCGCTTCATTATATAATATATTCCTCTGTGCCAAGGAGCCATTCTTAAGCTCTGACTCTCACTTTGGGAAAAGTAAACAGCTTCAGGGATATTGTCCTTCAAAAAAAAATGTCGGTTTTATCTTGTGAGGAGGAGGAAAATTAATTGGAAAAGGAAATATGTGTGCAGAAACTGGGGTCAGGCATTCATTCCTGAGAACAGGCTATTCCCCTGGTCAACCTCACACGCAGCATGCAGAAGGGATGGAAATGTATTTAGCCTGTTTTTGAAGTTTCGGTGTGGTTGAGTGCAGGGAGGGAACATGCTTTTATTGTGGCACACATGATTTCTCAAGGTCATATATATGTAGGGACCTAATAGCCTGTAAAAATCAAAATGGGGCCCTATTTCAATTGTAGGGTCCTCATTTTAACGTCACGCTCTAGGAAGGACCAGTGACGATGACAAAGTTATTCTTTCACCTGGTGGTTTGGGCTGCTCAGGGTCTCGGTCAGGGCTGAAGGGCTGGGTCAGCCAGCCTCCCAAGCCGGGACGGTGACAGGCTGAGCTGCAGAGAGAGCACACCAGCATGTGGCTGTCTGCTTGGTGGCAGGGAGAGGGGAAGAGGAAGTGTGCTCCGTGGAGGCTCTTTGGGGGCAGGACTGGGAGAAGGGGCCCCTGAGCACTGCGGCAGCCGTGCAGGGCCCTCGGAACAGCCGCAGGTGCCCGTGTCCCCGCCCCTGTCTCCCTGCAGCCCTTACCTGGAGTCAGGTTCTCTTCAACCCTTTGACTCCCAACCCTTCCTTTCAGGGCTCTGGTCCAGGACCCAGATCTCTCGCTTTGTCTTTGGGGCAAAGAACTGTTTTTGGTTTTCTTTCATTGCCCTTAATCGGCTGACAGCATCATGTTTTGAGATTAAGAACTTACAAATAGCCCTGGTGGGGTAGTTCAGTGAGTTAGAGCAACATCACAATACACCAAGACTGCTGGTTTGATCCCTGGTCAGGGCATGTACAAGAATCAACCAATGAACGCATAGATAGGTAAGTGAAACAACAAATTGCTATTTCTCTCTCTCTCTCTTTCTCTTTCCCCCCTCCCATCTTCTTTCCTTTCTCTCTCTCTCTCTCAAATCAGTAAGTAAAAATGTTTTTTAAAAAAGAATTTACAAACATCTGTGCTATGAAAGTATGTATTTGCCCTTCTGGCCAGTGAAAGGCCCCTGTCTCGTCACCGTTGAGAGCCGGAGGGGTCCTCCCAAGTGGCAGCCCTGTGTGTCGCCATATTTAACCCCCACAATCCTCTGGCAGGGGTGGGGTTTTCTCAGCTCATAGGCCAGGAACCTGAGGCCCACGGTTGTGTAGGACATATATTCGAAGTGTGCCCTCTGGTGCCTGTCACAGTTGGGTTTATTGTACTGCTCTGCCCTTCAGACCAGTTCGTTCGTTCAGTTGAATCAGCTCTTTCAGACGTATAGGGGACAGAACTTGCCTAAGGTCCCCCAGGTGTTAGAGGCGGCACCAAGGCCAGAGCTGAGGACCACCACTGGGTGCTTCCCAGGATGTCACGTCACTCTAAAGACCACTGGGAGTTTCTCTTCACTGATCTCAGCAGGTCCCCAGTGCCACTGTGAGCTCAAGGAGACCCTGGGCTGGAGTTGGGGACCTGGTTCTGAGCCTGTGCTGTCCGGCTTGCTCCCATCACCTTGACATTGCACTCCCCTTCTCAGGCGGAGGACACCAGCCTGCCTGCTAACCCTTTTAGCCAAACAAGAAAGGCTCCGGTGTCCTGGTTTAAACTTTGACTGAAACTCATTCACATCCGCGTATTAATTTGCATTTTCAGGCCTTTTCTCTCTAAGCCTTTCCTAGAGAAAAAATGTTTGGAATATTCGGTGGTTTTTGCTTGTTTCAAGGGGAGGAGAGTTAGGGAAAGCAGATTTCTCTTTGCTTCAAATTGATCCTGAAGGGAAACAGATGATTTTGTTTCTAAGGGATGTTGGTAAGGGAGAAAAACGGGACAACAGGGTATTTATTCCTCTCCTCCTCTGCCTCTCTACCCGGAATTGATGGGTTTATCTTTGGGGTTACCTCCTCTCGCACATGCTGTTTTTCAGTCTTTCCTGCTCCCTGAGTAATGCTTTATTATTTTTTTTTAATTGATCGGTTTTAGAGAGAGAGAAGAAGGGGAAGAGAGAGAAACATTAATTTGTCGTTCTACTTACCTTTGTATTCATTGGTTCTTATATGTGTCCTGACTGGGCGTTGAACCCACAACCTTGGCACATTGGGACGCCACTCCAACCAAGTGAGCTATCTGGCTGACTATGGTCTTTCTCTAAGCCAGTTCCTTTTTCAGTTGGCCACAGCCCTCACAGCCAGGCCCAAGTGTTCCCACCCCAAAGGCTCACCACTCCCTTCTCTACAGAGGAAGCAGGTAGCTCTGGTTTCTACATCTGTTCCACGTACTACACAGGTACATGTGCTTTCGTTTCGTTCCCTGCCTGCACACAACATCTCAACAGTTTAAACACATTAACTTAGTTGTGAGCCTGCAGTAAATTGTGTGTGCGTATGAGAAAGGACAAGGCGTGGAGGAGAGATGTGGGGTTCGGGGTCAGGCAGGTGCAGATTCAGAACCTGGCCCCGGTGCTAGCAGCCGAGTTCCTTTCCCTCTGTGTCGCTGCACCTCTAGGGGTCTCAGCCGGTTCATCTGTAAGAGGGCGATAAACTCCGACCTTTTAGGGTTGTCAGTAGTTTGAACGGGGCTCCTCCCAGAGTCAGGTCCTTGATGGGCTTAGAGTGTGGTTACTGTGTAGGGCTTTGGGAGCTGTTGCTCATGTCAGTGTTAGTTCACAGCGTCAAGTGACGGGCCGACTCCCTGCAGGCGTTGGGCCTGCGGTGTCTCGCTGGGCCCGCCCTGAGAGGGCCACCACGGTGGGTACTCTTCAACCCAGAACAGCCTGCATTTTTCCCCTGGCTGCCTCTCGGTAGGATGGAAACAGCAGTGTGCGCTTGCAGGATCAGTGTTGCAAGTGAGCCAGTTTCTCTGAAGGCCTTCTGGAAAGTGTCTCAGGAACTGATCCTCTCCTGCCCAGAACAAAGCCGACTGATGCAGGGCGGCAGCGACCCCGTCCTCTTGCCCCGCTCCCCCTGCTCTGCCTGAGCAGGCTGCCGCTGGCCTCTGCAGTGCCCTCTTGGAAGCCGGGCTGTTCAGACTGTGGGAACTGGTGAGCAGATGGCCCTGTTGGCAGCCGCTCCTGGCTCCCTCGCCATCCTGGGAGCCGCCTCGGCCTGGCATGGGATGCAAGTGGTTGTGTGCCAGGCAGGGCCCCAGGAGAGAAGATGCCTGTGCTGTCTCCAGAGTGTGGATCCAGGGTGAATGGTTTTGGGTTTTTTCCCAGCATTTCCGAATCAAGCGCATGAAAATGTTCATTAGAGTTCTTTTCATTTTTTTCTTGCCTACCCAAGCCAATGTTTGGGCCAGAGCGGCAGGGTTTAGGCTTCTGTGTTTTATCTGGTTTCAGTGGTAAGCTGTAAAGTCCCTTAGACCTCCACCTTTCCCTTTTGGTCTTGACCTGGAATTCCCCAGAGGACCCCATTCTCTGTAGAACCTTTGGAAGCGTGGCTGTGCCTTCTCTCCCTCCCCCACAGTGTCACGGAGGGGTGGGGTTCTCGTGTCCTCATCTCCACTCAGGACCCTCTTCTCTTACACGCGTCCGCCCTCAGGGTTTTCTTTCTGCCTCTTGGCGATTTCTTGGCCTGGACTGTATCGACCCCATCGATACCCTGTCTGGTTAAGTTCTGCTCAGAGGTGTCAGGCACCCGCTGCGTGCAGACTCTTTGCGGCAGGTCGCCATTGCAGTTAGCTGTGGCTGTAGAATGAGTTAGCACGAAAGCTGGGGTCCAAAACAATGTCTGGTTATTATCTCGAGGTTTCCGTGGGTCAGGAATGCGGACGCGGGTTAGCTGCTCCTTGGCTTGGGGTCTCACACGGCTGCAGTGGAGATGTTGGCCAGGCCTGGGGTCTGATTTGAGGTGGGGTTTCTCTTCCAAAGTCACACTGGTTCTTGGCAGAATCATTGTCTTGCAGAAGCCGCGACAGCCCGCTTCTCTAAGGCTGACAGGAGGGACCACTGCTGCAGGGTCCTGGAGCTGGGTGCATCACAGGAGTGACTA